GTTTACCAGTGATTGTGCTCAATACGAACTGTTTACAGATCAAAAGAGATGTGTCGACAACGGCTTTCATCAGACATGTGAAGAATACAGATATCTCAAATTGATGCATCTGGCTCGAAACATCCACACATCTCGAAGCGTAAATCGTTTTGGTGTTTGCCAACTCATCAGCCCCCCCCCCCCTCCCCCCCAGTAGGTGATACACCTAATCACTACGAGCTGCCCAATCAAATGCAGCTTCCCACGTGCATGCTCATATGAGCGATAGCAAACGTAATTGTATTTGAACAAACTGAGCTCCCTGAGAGGGCCCCCGACTCCCAACTGCCAACCGACAGCCACCCCTACGCTCACACGAAGATTACAGGCCGCTCCTAGTAGTCGGGGGGGGGGGGGGGGCTGGGGGAGAGATCACGCCATGTGCGGAGATCCGCCCCGCCTTGCACGTGGCGACCACGGGCCTTACGGCGACTGGCGCGCCGTAGTATAAAGCACTCCACTCGCGAGTAAATACCGATTGCTTTATCGTGCGCGCGCTATTTACTATGGAGTCGCCGGCGTGGTAGCTGGCGCCGAGACATCCCAGCAGAAGTGACACGTGGTCGAGGGGACGGGGAGACGCGTTTAGAAGCTGAGGAGCTGTGTTCTCAGGCTCTGGAGAGCATTACAGGGATCAAAGACGACACTAGGCAGGTCCGTCCATAACTCGCGGAGGTCACCCAGCAGGTAATGGGGATCCCAAGAGATTACTGAGCTCCTTCAGATGGCTGAGGAGACCGTTCCCAACAGCTAATCACGGAGGTCCTTAGACAGGTCAGGGAGATCATTCCGCAGGTCACGGAGACCATTCAGCAAGTCGGGAATGCCCTTCGTGATATCCATATACACCTCGGAGATCAATGGGCAGGATGCCCTGAGAGGCTCACAGATGTCCCTCACCGGGTCACAGCAGTCACAGACGGCAACTACATTACTAGATTGTGAAGCTGCCCAAGAAGGCCGTGGAGCCATCAGATAGCCTGGCAGCAGATACTCCATGGCTCACCTTGGGACACCGTCATGCGGCATGTGGCAACACTTATATGAACAAAAACCTTCAACGACGCGTGTGCCTCGCTAAAAAGGCGTGGGATTACCTAGTCTTAGGTAATCCCATGCCTTAGGCACGCTAGTCTTACCGCATTGTGAATCGCCGAAACGGCCAGTGCAATCGGCCGGTATCGAGACGGCTGGTCGGCCTGAGAACCCCACATGAGCTGAATGTATTTAGTTCGATCCGGACACTCTCTGCTTTTCGAATCCGTCCGTTTTTAGCGCTATAAGTCATGTTATTGAGAGAGGTTAGATTTATGTTCATGTTTCACAAGGCACGCACCGTCAAACGTGCGTATCCTGGTAGTTAGAAAACGTCTTTCGCGGGGAAATAAAAAGCCTCTCTTTCCCGGCTTATTCGCGTGGAAAAGAAGTGTCAGCAACGGTAATATATAGTTCCATTATGAATGTTGTACTCTATGTGCGTTCTAATGTTGTGCGTTCATCTACATGCATCTATGCGCCTCATGCATAAGAAATGCATTAAATATATAAATAGGTACAAAAATATGATACAAAATTGCAAACATCAGAAACGCTTTTCAGCGCATGGAATCGCATCGCATACAGGTCCGAACAAGGGATCTCACAGTTCGGGGGGAGCAGTCCCCGATGGAGACCGTCCCAGACGTCGGCAAAGTCGGCTCGTTCAGGGAGGGGCGGGATTGCTCATAATACGGGGAGAGCAGCCCCGATGGAGACCGTCCCAGACGTCGGCAAAGTCGGCCAGGCCAGAGGGGGAGGGGGTAGGGCTACTCAAGCTCGGGGAGAGCAGTCCCCGATGGAAACAGTCCCACACGTCGGCAGAGTCAGCCCGGTCAAGAAGGAGCGGGGAGTGCTCATAGTACAGGCAGAGCAGTCCCCGATGGAAACAGTCCCACACGTCGGCAAAGTCGGCTCGTTCAGGGAGGGGCGGGGTTGCTTACAGTACGGGGAGAGCAGTCCCCGATGGAAGCCGTCCCACACGTCGACAGAGTCAGCCCGGTCAGGAAGGAGCGGGGAGTGCTCATAGTACAGGCAGAGCAGTCCCCGATGGAAACAGTCCCACACGTCGGCAAAGTCGGCTCGTTCAGGGAGGGGCGGGGTTGCTTACAGGGAGAGCAGTAGAGAGCAGTCCCCGGGGAGCCTTACGGGGAGAGCAGTCCCCGATGGAAGCCGTCCCACACGTCGACAGAGTCAGCCCGGTCAGGAAGGAGCGGGCGGTGCTCACAGCTCGGGGAGAGCAGTCCCTGATGGAAACCGTCCCACACGTCGACAAAGTCGGCCAGGCTCAGCCGCGCGCGCCGCCCACCGGTCCCCACTGATCAATGCCCGGAGCCAGCAATGCCTGCCAGACTGATCACGTTTATTGGACAGCTGAGGAGCTGCGATCTCCGTAGACAGGGCGGCTTCGATTTTTGTGAACAAAGCCGCAAGGTCTGGGCTGTCTTCTTCCAAGGAGAAGGAGCCATCAACAAGCTGAACACTTCTACAGCTGCCTTTTGCGAAATTGTGCGGTGTATACTTGAATGCCACTAATAGAAATGAGCTAAGCCGAGAAATGGCCACCGAATGTATGATGATCACAGTCATGGTCAGAACTAAGGAAATTTCACTGGCGAAATGTTGAACTACAATTTTGTCAGCGAACGTTTCGTGTAGTCGCCTGCCACAACTGCCGTACCGCGCTATCCAACTATGACCACTGACATCACAACTCCGCGCGTCAAATGAACAGTTGGTGGCAGTGACTGCCAATTTGAGGCTGCTGTTAAGTCGCAGTAGTTTTATCCTGTTCAAGTGAGGCTAATTAGACATCAACACAAATCAGCAGTCGCAGCTACATGTCCTCTGTCCGACATAAGCCAGGTATAACACGGGACGGGAACTCGAACTGGTTCTCGCCCATTTCTTTCCAGCTGCCAGGCACCGAGCCCGCCGCCCTGATGTCGGACTTTTCGCAATCCCGTTAGCGCAGTTTTTCGGGCTGAGCGTTGTGAACCAGTGTCAAGCGAACCGACTGGTGGCGCTGCCGTGAAATCCGAGCCGCCCTGATAGCGTTTACGGCGACCGGCGACTAACCGCAAACCTGACGCCCAGGGCCGATTCCACAAAGCAAACGTACTGTGCACAACCTGACGTAAGTTGTAACTGCTTCAATTTCGAAATGGTATTGCTGTAAGCGCCCACATGGAAGAACGTCAAGGAAACACATAAGCCAAATGCTGTGCGAATTGCCGGCAATATCTTTGGTGCTTTCTGATAAAAAGCCGCCAAGTTATATTTTCACCACGTACCTACGCCAAAATCACACATCCACCCATTACCACCTTAATTTATTTGATTTGCGAAGACACCAATATCGGCATTTTGTTGGCGTTGGTCTGGGCTCAGCTACGGTACTTACGCTAAATGGTGGTGTTAGATATCTGGTCACCGCTACAACAGCAGCATTTCAGCAGCAGCATTCCGGCAATGCTGCAAACACCGGCGGTAGCGGGTGCGACGGTGGAGTGGCGGATAATGTGGAGCGGATGCTCTGCGGCGACGGTGAAGTGGTGGATAACATGGAGTGGAGGATCTACGTCGCAGAAGCCGAAAAATGCTCAGAACTGTCACTCATGCCGGTCTCATCGCATACCGCATCAAAAGCACACATGAATGAAGACGAGGTATGAATGAGGCGGCCCTCAGGAAAGGCGGAGCAAGTGTCCAATAAAACCCGTCTGAAGTGCCAGGCAACATTTAGAACGCCGTCTGACGCTTTGAGCCGAGTCTTCAGCAGGGCGCGCCATGGTTGGGTGCGATTTTTACCGCCTTCTTAAACCAGCCGAGAATCCGCAAGAGCATCAGCGTCCGTTTGCACACAGTTGCTGCGCAGTAGCTGCACGCATCGCTAGCACAGTTTTTCAAGAAGATCTCCAAATCCAACACTGACGTCACCTCTGTCAGAGTTCGGCACGGGCTCTCGTCGAATGTTTGCGGAACCGAGTGGTATCTTCCACGTGTTTAGAAGCACTTTATCATGGCGAAATAAGTGCCTCGGCAATGTGATAATTCCCCAGGAATGTCTGAATGCCAAGTGCAGACGAGTATGCGCAGGGGCGTTGCGATGTTTTTGGACGAATGTCTCAAAAATGGGGCAAGCCAAACTCTTTTTTAAGCTGATTCTTCATATGCGTCACCATAGCAGTTGGCATTGACCAATAACCAAGGGGTGGGGGATGATGGGCTTCTTGTCCCACGCGTCCCAACTTCATCTTCCGTCTGCAGGAATGCTCTCCTATCGACTAGAATATGATGCTCCTGTTCGCGTCTTCCACGAGTTACGTCGGCAAACCCGCTTGGTGAGGAGTGCACTACCTACACCGCAATCGCGAAGTTCGGCAATCAGCGTCCGACTAACGTGTCTCAACCAACGCATCTGGCCGGTGGTGTGGCGGATTGTCGGGTGGTCGTGCGGAGTCCCCGTGGTGGCAACGGATGCCGGCGGCGCTCACCACACCGGGAGCGCTCGTAAGCCGCGCTGCCGGCCGCCTCGGCGCGGCACACGCCTGCCGCCAGCCTGCGGCCGGCAGGCGCACCTGACCAGCGCGGCGCCTGAGCGCTGCAGGCTGCAGGCGTCGCCGGCGCCGGCCGAGCGGCCCGGCCGGCGCCGTCTGCACTCCCGCCGGCCCGTGTTTACGGTACGCTGCGGCTGCAGCGTCGGCTCCGGGACGGAAACGATGTCAGCCGCGGCCACCGCTAGCCGCTGGCCGCTGGTCAGAGCGCTGACCGCCGGGCACAGCGGCACCGGCCGCCCGCTGACCTGACCTAACCTAACCTGACCTGACCTAGCCTGACCCTGGTCAGCGGCGACGCGGCGGGCGAACGCCACCGGCTGGACGGGACGCCGGCGGGACCGGGCGGGGCGGGCGGACGAAACTTGCCTGAGAACTTGCGGTGTCGCCGTCGTACGTGACGATGATCGTCGTCCCCCTTGATGGGCGGCGGCGTGCGACGCTTTGCCTCGAACAGGCTGGCGCAGGCGGCCAGCGCCAGCAGCAGCAGCAACAGTCGCATGGTGCGCTGAGAGGGGCGCGGCTATAGGGCACTCGGCGAAGCACGTGTCCAGCACAGGCGCATGACACCACGAACGGCCTGATGCTCCCGACACCCGCGCTCGCTTCGACACTGCCCGCTGCGCCGGCCGCCGCCGCATGTAGGCTCGCACTGGTACAGCCTCTGACCGTGTGACCGCGGTCTGCGCAGCCGCCTGGGCGGACATGCGGCGGGCGTCAGGCCGCAAGTCAGCCGACGAGCGCCGGGTTTTCCGGACCGCGATGTCAGAGAGGGATCCTCAGCACGTTAGCCTCCGCGGCAGTCGGTCTTCTGCAGACCGATGTGATTTTACTTGCAATGGGCTGCAGTCCATGCATTGTGTATTTGCATATCTATAGAGGTAATAATTTTGCTCTCTATATGGAGCCGTGGGTCGGAGGACTGGTATAATGCTCGGACGCCAGAGCGTCTTTAAATGGGCATTTCTCCCCGCGCCCAATCGAAACGAGTTCCTTTTTGTTTGCGGCAAGAGCAAACCAGTCAGCTCGTTAGCCCATTCACCGCTCCGGCGAGCTGTTACTAAAGGCGATTGCGATTTACACATCGGTGCTAAGGCTGGCCAGATGCCTAATGCTGGCCGGGGGTGAAGAGGAAGACCGTCTTACCGGGCTCTGGTAGTGCAGTGTGCCACCGCCCGGCGCTACTTAACGGGGCACCGCCGATCGCAACAGGAATCCAGCCATTCAATTTGCACTTAGCACACCGCGACAGCGTGTTTTCCAGACAGTTACTTGCAGAAATATGCCTGAATCTAAAGAGGCTCCAGTGTATACGGGATGCTGGAATCTTTTTTGGGCTCCAGCCACATGTGATGCTTGATAGAGAAAATAATGGATAATTCGTGAATGGCTCATTCGATCGAAGATTCCACAGGCGTGGTGTTGACTGACCGTGGAAGTATATCACGTATATGCGTTCCTTTCCTGATGGCGGTACGATAAGATACATCTTCTTTCGTAGATCCATAAGCATTGATATGTCAGGTTACGCAGTGTTTGGTGTAGCACCCCGAAGTAGCTGCGTTTGCTTGATCCATCATTCAGCCAGGGATGCAAAACAAAATGGACGTGTTGTTCTACAAAAGAAGCCAACGGCACCAGCTTTAATGTATGAAATCATAGAAAAACGTATGAGCATAATTTTTAACCACGCTTGAGCGCAAAGTTACGCTGCTCAGATCGCCCTCCCCTTGTTCAGCTTTTGTTATGCGCCAATAAAATCCCTTTGCGCTCTATACTGAACGTAATTTATGGACGGTCCCGTAACACGCGCTCGGGTAGGGGTGGAGGATCAAATTGACCCCCCGAAGGTTTTTCAGAATGGTTTCCGAACGGCACGGCGTAGCCAAGACAAATTTTGCACGGCTGTAGACTATCGAATAGCGGATTGGTTGATATAAAAATTCAGATGTTCCTTGTAAGGCCGCTGACCTATGGCAGGTCAAAGTTAGGCCATGGATTCAGCGAAGGCAGTTTCTAAGGAATCGTCCAATCTGATACAATAACGGAATGTTTGACGAAGTCATACATCTCTGAGATGCTTTCTCAGGCACCACAAACATTGGATGAGCAAATTACGTTGACCTAAGGTCAGGTATGAAGGTCAGACCAAGGTCACAACCAGCCTGATTTATTACTTTATGGCTTCTTGTATGGGATAGTTTGTGGTGCTTATTTCGAATTTATTGACAGCAGGAACCGCATTATATATTTTCCATTGACGTCTTAGAGGCCAGAAAAGGTCATTGACCTAGGATGACCCGGGTCGACATTCTGTTTTAGGAACATGCTGCCTGGCGTAATATTTGTCGCTTATTCATATGCAACACTCAAAACAGTCTTTTATGATTTCGGTCACCATGACCTTCAAAAGATCAAAAAAGATCACTGACCTTAAATGGGCTTTTGACCTCTGCTCACTTAGACTTAGAAACAACTAAGAAACAGTTGCCTAGGTTCTGAGGGTACTTTGGAGACCAGCCTGGTTACCTTGCTTGACCTTATTTGACCTGAAGGTCATGACTTATCAAGCTCAAACTTTTACCTAAGTGAGTTCATGTACAGTTCAAGATACTCTGAAAATTTTGTGTCTCTAGCTTTCTTAGTTCTTGAGATCTAAGGGCGGATGTGTCAAATTGACCCTCCACCCGAGCGAAGGGTATTTAGCTATATATTTATTCATTTGGCTATACATTTAACTATCGGCTGGCTTATATTTAGAAACCGAGGAGGGGGGGGGGCAGCGGTGGGGCAGCTCGCCCCCAACTTGAAAACTGAGGTGGCAGCGCCTCCCTCCAACTTGAGGACCTGAAGACGGCACATTCTGGTATGCTAAGGTTCGATTCTGAGCTGTAAAGGGATTATGCACACCTGTGGAAGTTCAGCCTGACCTGTCGAGGCTCATCCTGACCTATAGAAGGCCCTTCATGACCTGTAGATGACCCGTTATGAGCTGTACAAGTTCCATTATTGGCTGTCGAGGGCCCATTTTGGCCTGTACGTGGCCCATTATGACCTGCAGAGGGGCCGTTCAGGCTCGTACAGCGCCCATAATTGACTGAAGTTTCCATTATTCTGATCTGTAGAGCACCCAGTCTGGCCTGCAGAGGGCCTTCCATTGAATGTGAGGGGCAAATTTTGGCCCGTAGAGGCCCAGTTCTGCATGTTGAGGGCTATTCTGACCTGTGGAAGGCTTATTTATGTGGAAGGAGTTTGAGCCTTTGTATCGAAGACCTCATCCTCCAGAATATTGCAGCGCATAAAGTAAACATAGATGTGGAACATTATCCAGAAAGAAGCATGCTGCCATCACCTGTAGAGAGATCACAACTCAATTGCAAGTGCAATTCTGGCCGCCGTTCGGCCTCGCAGTCGCAGTCGCAGCCGAAAGCTCCAATACTACTGCTACTAAAAGAGCAATTTCCTCTCGTTACGTCACGTTTGAAGGTTTAAAAGGAGCTCCAAGCCCAACGGCTATGTAGGAGCAGCGGTGCATTTTGCTGCATCACACGTTACTCCCATTGGCAGTCGAAGCAATGGCAGACTTTATGCGAGGTGACCGCACTGCTCCCCATCAGCACACGTTCTTTCTCAGTGCGAGCCTGTCTCGTATTCAACTCCAATTTCGGATGCACCTCGAAGTTAACTGGAATATAACAAAGACGATGATGGAAGGACATTTCCCACTCACATAAATATAGAGTAAGTGCGCCGTTTATTGAAGCATGCCGGCATGCATGGCGTGCAGGGCGGAATAAAAGGTAGCCTTGTCCTGATTAACGGCGGCACGATTAACAAAACGTTTCGCAGCCGCTTCAGACCAGAGACATTCACTGCCGGCTGCTCTGTGAGAAGTCTCATCGCGCTGCGAATAAGGCTGTAACAGCCTGCTGAAAGTGCCGTCCGTCTGGTGCCATTGCCGCGCTATTTATCGGCTGCAAATCTCCGTCGGTGCCGACGCTGCAACGTCGGCGTGGAGGCGGCCTGCATCGGGAGTGACACAGACGGGCCCCCTGCAGGCATGCCTGTGGGCACGGCGCCCTGCAGACATACCCAGTCATGGTTCCCTGCAGAGACAAGCGGTTGGGATTCCCCGAAGGAACAGGCGGCCAAGTTCCCCGCGAAGACACCCTGCCGGGTCGCGCACGATTCACAAGTGGTCCCGCGTGGTGTCTCCGGCGTTGTCCTGCTGGCACTCATCTCAAGACAACGACTCAGCTGCAAAAGCGCGAGATGCGTGTAAGCCAGCTCATGCGTTCGTTTGCGTGCTGGGTGACAGGGTCTTTCAAATTCAAATGGTCGCGGTTTTAGACACCCTCTCGACTTGCGTCGAAACTCACACGTGGAAGGCCTGACCTACGTCCTCTTGCAGTCCTCTGGCTGTCTGTTCAGTCCGTCAGCAGTCTTGGGACCTGGACTGCTTTGTATTCATTGGTGTTTTATTGGGATCCGGGTCACGAGCGCGCCTCAGTCCTCCTGAAAACCCTTCGGTGTAATTCACAACCCTGCTCTTCCCAAGGCCTAAGCCCCTCTAGTTTCTGAGCTACAAGTCCGCGAAGATGCGCAGACTATTTCGGGGAGACTATTTCAAGGTCACCCAGGCATTCATGGCGCCACAATACCGTCATTCAGATTCTGTCATTCCATTAGCCGTGCAGTGATCAAGACCAATAAAAGTAAAATTGTCGAGTCGCCTATATCTAGCATTTGTGATCACGATTTCCAGATGTAATGGCCAACAATTGGCTCGCAATCAATGTTGTGCGAGAAACGATGAAATAAACAAACAATAACGTGCTGAATAGCATACTTATCATATGGAGAAGTTAGGTTGTCCAGAGCAGTCCTTACCACTTAAAAATATACCAATGATAGACGCGAAACGTATTTAATCATATCTGGTGCCTGCTTCAACACCTTCATACGTTGAACATTCGCCGTTAAAACAGATTTACTTAAGATAAAGTTTACTTTGCAATACCACATCTCGTGCAATCTAATCTTTTTCTTTTAAATAACCACTTGTTACAGTCAATATCATTCGAAATACTTGCATTTTTATGTAAAGTGATGACAATGACTGCAGTTTGCTTTAAATGACTATATATTGAATACGTGGTTTGTGGCAACAACTTACATGACAAAGGTTACAAAGGTCGTAAAAGACGTTCCGACATGTTTCACCGGAAAATTCCAGGAACGAAAGTTATATGTGTCCCAAATATTCCGGAAATACCCAATTCATCACATGTAGCAGCCATGACATGTAGTATCGAAGGGATTGTCGATAACTGGCGATATTCCAGAAGCCTGCACTTGTGTTTGGGGAGCTTTATTGCACGCCAACTGTTTGATTAAAGGAAGCAACGCGCGCCAGTGACCCTTACAATCTGACAGCCTTGTTTATGACGTCCTCGGAATTCACGTCCATGCAGGGCCTGGCTTCTATAAACAGCCCCAAGACGCGACTTCTGTAGTTCTTTAATTATTGGGTACAAAAATTTTAACCCATCATGCCTTGCAGTAAAAACAGTTGTCGGCTATTCCAACGTTGGA